CATAAAATCTAGTTCCATTATTTATTTAATCAATAATGGCAGATAATATCATGATGCATTTTGAACTGGACTGGCAAAATGTGTGACATGGAATGGTAGTGATGAATGACAGATACTGTGAAAACAGTATGAAAACCAGCTTAATGTTTTACTTTTACAAGGAAAAAAGGATTACACATTAGTCAATCTACCAATCTAAAATTGCCCACATTGGGAAACTGTTCTCACTATTCCTTGTCGATATGGAAGATTGACCTAAGCAACCTGCTGCGGGATGGCAGCTTGTGATGAACGCACACATGTTGAATTTCAATTAGATCCTTACAAAGGTCAAATAAATAATAAAAGAAAGACCTATTCCTCTAAGAAAAAAAAAAGAAAAAGAAATAGCAGGTCAGCAGGGAATCAAGGACAAGCAGTCCTGTATCTACTAGCTGGCCGTTGAACAACCAGGAGGAAAACTGCATTTTAGATGTCTGACCACCTGCTGTACAAGTGTGGATGCCCATAAAATACTCCACAGTGAAAGCAGCAGAAACTAAAGTTATTTTCAATTGATCTTAGTTTCATCAACTGAATAAAACTATTTAATGGCAGTAATTGGTTGAATTTCTAGCACTTACAGTGGGAATGCATTAACTTTTCTCAGTTGCAGTTAAATAGAGGCAGCAGCAAAGGGATCCATGATGACAAGGTTGTCCGTCAAGTTTGACTGAAATAGGACGCCGACTCGCCAAAAGATGCATTAGAAATGAATTTGCATCTAAACCGCCAGTAGAGTTATACATCATTTACACTCTAATGCAGCATTGTTTTTCAACCACAAATCATTTTTTGAAAATTGAAGATATGGTTCTATACAGCAAAAGCTGAGTATTTGCCGATGGAGTCATAACAGAGAAATACTGGACTATTGTCTGGATCAGTCAAATGTCCAGCAAAAATTGAGACTGCATAAATATAAATCAACTTCAGATATCTTGAACTTTGTCTGTTTTGGACACAAGCTAAGATAGACTTGAGAATGTTTTGTGAATATTTGTTTAGATGGGATCCAAGACCAGTAACTCTTGTCCAGCACATTTGTGCACATTACGACTTTAAAAAAAAAAATCTTTATTTTTATGGATGTTTCAACTGAGTGGAAACTCAGGCAAATCCCCGACCTTCTGCTACTGCCTCAGTTCTTTTGTTTTTGTCTTCCTCTGAGAAAAATCAAAGCCTTTAGAATGACACAATAAAGAGAACGCACAAATCCACAAAGATTACCTACCTGACTGCGTGCAGTCAGCTGTGGTGCAGATTTCATCTGTAAGAGAGTATAAAACAAATCATCACACAGTGGCCTTTTGCAGTCGTCCTTATGTCAAACTTAGTCCAACTCTTCACTCCCAATTCCCAATTTTCCCATATATATATATGTAAATATTCATCAAAGTGAATCTGAGACATATATAACCATAGTGTTTCATGGGTCATACACACACTGTGAATATGGCTGACTGCGCATAGTAGCAAACATGGGTAACTGAGCTTTTATTTTCCCTGACAAGGCAGCTTACACATTTACAAAGGACGAGACAGAGGAAAAATGAAAAGGAAGAAAAAACTTCCCCCTAAGAGCTCAACGAATCCACAGGCCAGGCAAATTCCATCACACTTAACTGGATGCCCTTTTCTGTCAAGTTTCTCAACTCAACCTCAAAACTTGAAACAATGTTGTCTTTTTACGCAAGGAGTACCAGCAGCCCACACGACATTCAACAAGAGAAAAGACAGACACACAGACACCAGTAAGGCTTACATCAGAATAAAAAGAACAATTTGCACAATAAAACACATGGAAAAAAACACTGCACGATAACTCATGGCAAGTAATGTCATGAGCACACAATGTGGGATTAGGGAGATCGAGTCATGGACCAATGCATGCTTCAATGAGCCTGATAAATGCAAGCACCATACAATCAACAATACAATCAAAAACCTGTTATTAGTTATGCCCAGTCTTTTGGTAAGAGTTTTTCGACTGCCTGAGAATGTTTGTGGTGAGTCTGTGCTATTAGAGCATTTTCAGTGGTATTCCATAACCTATGGAAGAGAAATTGGCCTGCAAGAGTTTCTCTCCCCTTGTAGCTTTCAGAAGAAAACAGGATTTCTCAAGAAAATTTGCATGATTTTACATATGTGTGGATTAAAACACCTGACGCTGGGGGCATCAGTTGTGCTTTTTATACAGGAGTCTCACATCAGCTTTAATGTTAATTTGCTTGAACATGACCTAGAAACTGGTTCCAAACACAACACTTGATGATATGATGTTAATTGGGCTTTACATTTTTTTGGCTTCAATTCATTAATATGAAACCACCAATAACGTTTTAACTTTTAACTGACAGCCTAATTCTTGACTTACCGAACTGTAAGAAATTGACGGGTTATGCTCTACAATCCACCCACTATATGACACACCTTCCCATTAGTTCCCATTGGTTCTCCTATTCAGCAATATCAGTTATTTTGCCCCAAAGTCAGTACCATCGCCTGCTTATTATTTTGAGTTGGGTGTTTTTAGGTAATACCACAAATGCAACAGTTTGTGTATGTATTTTGTTGACTTTGCTCAGATTCTGTAAAATCTTTTGTTACATTGGCAGTTATTAAAACAAAAATCTTAATAACACATTACCTTAAATAACACTTTCAAATATACAAATGCATTTGCACAAAAATAGCTAAATTAAATAATCTTTCTGTTTGATGGCTTTATCATTTCATCTTGATCCTATTAAAATGACATGCTTATAAATGAAATATTGCGCTTAAAGCATTTCAGCAAGTCTTCAAAAATTACCAGACAAGTTAATTGGATACCTACTTTGGGAGTAAAGTTTTATTTATCAAGCGATTTGTCCACAGATTTCCTGAGGAATTACACAAGTCACCGGTGGGAGCCTCTTCTAAAACTGCCCTTCCTGCTAAATACATGACTCAGAGCTGGAGTCCACGCTTTGAATTACAAGCATTCAAATCACAGCCAAGCCTCTCGACTGTCAGCTTCTATTCCACAGCATCTATATCCCTCGATGCTACATCCAAAACAACTTAACGCAATCTCTCTAACTTTTCTCAACCTCCCCTTCAAAGAAGCCGGTCTGATATTGGAGACGCAACAATGGCATGTGTCCAGCCTGCCCCGCGACCAAAAGGCATCCGGCAGCTGCTTCGTCAACAAATCACAACTCTGTACTTGACATCCAAATTCGATAGCCACCACACACTCTGAACTTCCCGAGCTGCTGGTTTATTTGTCCACGGGATCTTTACACTTTCCGAAGCCTTCTCAGAATTGAGCATAACTCTTTCTGAAGGGGATAACTTGGAATCTATTGACCCTCTCAAGTGATCTAAAATGCAGAGCGGGAAACACTTCTTGTCTTCTGGGAGTAGAACTTCTTTGTTCTTTATCAACATCACCCAAACTGATTATAATGCAACTGTAGATTCTCAAAGTTCTTTTTAACAGCCTGTTCGCACTCAGCTAACCTGGCTTAGGACAGGGTGTATCATTTGTATTATCAAACAGTCTTTTTGATTATTCATCCTCCTCTCAGAAACACTGATACCCATCTGTATCAGTCAGGTTAAACTTTATCATAAAATGGATCACTGGAAACATCTGTCCATTTTTATCTCTTTACCATGTTTCCACACTTCTAAGAGGTTCACCTTTACTAAGAACAATGAGCCGCTTGCCACTCATTTCTGTGTTCCTCAGCGTTCTTATACTACACTCGTCTTGTCATCTCAGTTTTTTCAACCAGAGCTCAGAATCCATGAGCGCGCTGGCCCTTTTTCATCCTTCTACAGCATTTCAGATTTCGTCCAGCAGCAAAATCTTTTCCTTAAAATGTTCTCATCACTCTTGTCCTTTCAGCATTATAATTCACAGCCAGATCTCTCTCAGAGCACTAACACCCTGGAGTAGTAAAGCCAATCAACTGGGAGTCTCATTTCCCATCTGCATCTTTGATGTCCAGACTCCTAATTGGGCCTTTTATGAGCTGCTAGCTAAATACATCCATTCAGGGTTAGTAATAAATCCCTCTCCTCAAAAGATATCCTTCAAAAACTAGGAGGATGGCCTTTTGTTCTGCAAACATTTTTGCCAAAATTCCTCAAACATCTGGTATATTTCCAGAGCACTGTTCAACCCTTTTTTTTCCTGTGTTGGAGTTGCTTCCACATCCCACGACTTGGAACCAGGTTATTTATCTCAGTCCTCTCAGACTCGCCCAAATCCTGAATTTTATAGGGGTCATAAGCTGGCTTGGACAATCACCTCCTGAGAATGGAACCTCAAGTTTTATTCTCCTGTTTTCCAGCCACCAATCACAAGACCTCCAAAGAGCCATAAGCTTCAAATTCACCTGTGTCTTTAATAATTTTACTTGTATTTCCGCATTAAACCAGTAAGCTAACACTTTGGCGTCATCCTGGCAGGTGAGGTAAAAAATTATTTCACAGATGTACTCAATGTTATTAGAATTGTATCAATGATACTATACTTTTGTCCCCTTTTAAACCAGACCACATTGAATTAGGAGAAAGCTGCTTATCATGTTACATGGCATAACCACTACCCATTTCCGTGAAGCACGTTGAAAGATTTTATGTCAGGGAATGTAAAAAACAGCTCATTATAAAAACATGGTATTGATCTGAGTCATGTTTGATTTAATTCCTGCAGAGGAGAAATGATTGGGGCCATGTGTGTTCCATTTACGATATGATCCAAGTCTCATTATGTTGAACAGACAACACTGACTTCAAAATACATTTAACACAAAAAGAATTAGTCAATGCCCACAATTAGGTTAATACTTTATTTTGGTTGTTTAGTTCAGTCATTTATGTTTGGTTTACCAAACTTTGGATATCTCAAAATTCTTTTCACTTTCCAGTTTAAGCACTGGTCAAGTCATCTTTATAGCACTCACCGGTCTTCTGGGTGGCAACGAGAATGATGAGGGCAACAATGACGATGAAGAGCAAGGAAACAATTGTAATGAGGCCAATCTCCAGGGAGGTCCAGCGGGGCTTCTTAGCCGATTTGGGGGTGTTTGTCTCTGTCATTCTTAGTTCTCCTCCTTCAGCAGCCGGCTGTATCAACTCACCTATGAAGAGACTAAAGGGTTAGTCGCTGAAAGTAGATAGATCAAGTAGATACACAAGTTTTAATCTGTGGCTCCATCTCTACAGACAGCACTTAGTTAGTTTTACTAACATGCAGGGCAGCCTATGGTCCGCAATAGAAATCCATCAATGCCTGAAACAGATACTGTGGGACCGTAACTAAACAAAAATGTCCCCATCGCTGTGGTTACCCAAAAAAATGGATGAGAAACTTGGTTTGCAACAAAGAAATACGCCATCTAACCCAGTGAGCCCCAACTGGAATTTCAATAATATTTTTTTTGTGGCAAACTAGGTGGTATGCACTCTGAATGTCAGTGACCTGTTTTTGTCTGCTTGTCAGTTGACATGAAAAAGGGTTACAGCATCAACAGTCTCACAAAAGACCAAAAAGTTTTAACTAGGGTTCCCTTGATCTAGTGTTTCTCAAAAGTCACACTGCACCAGTTCAAGAAAATATGGTTCACATGTAAATTTAATTCCAATACATTTATTGGTCCATCTGAATATGGAATGATATTATCTGTGTGCCTCCAAGTGGCTACTTCAAAGGCAGTATATCATATTTATATGATCTATAACAGCAATATAGTGCCTTTGGTGTTTCTTACTGTGCTGGCCAATTGCATTAAAAATATAATAGTTCCCTATCAGAATTCCATGGGCTTAACAAATTCTAACAAAACCTGTCATGTAAAACATGTATTAGTTTTTTTAAGTAGTTGTGGAATTTCTGGAGGACATTTCACCTTTGAATAAATTTCAAACATACTTTCACTAGTTACCATAGACTCTTACTTCAAAGTTTTCTTTTCAAGAAAAAACTAAAAAGCAGTGGGAGCATGTGAGGTTAAATCTTCACCAGTCTTAATCAACCAGGCTGAAGAGTCTGAAAACTAAAACTGGAAAAAAGATTTAAATGTAAAACTCAAACTCAAGTCTTATACTGCAGCTTATCCAGATATAGGCCAGTTCTCTAAACAGTGAAAAAATAAAAACTCTGAAAGGCTCCAAAAATATTGAAAAGTGTGATCCATGATCTTCAAAGGCAAAAGTGAGAAGTTTTGCTGTTTTCGCTTTGATAGTCACATAAAACATTCAATAAGAAGATGATGCATGCAGTTACTTTTTTTCTGCTATTTTTACTTTTATTTAAATGTGAACTTAGTAGAACATCCTTGTAGAAATAAAAACAAAAGATAAAGTTAAACAGAGATGAGAACACTTTGAAAAAGAAAATGAAAAAAAAGTTGAATTAATACATCATTTTCATCCTGTCGGCACAATGTAAGTGTCCAACTCAAATAAACCTTCAGCCACAAAAAAAACCTGTCAGTAAAAGTGTCCACAAATGTGATGATTTTTTCAAATTAAACATTGATTTGCAAATTAATAGGGCAAATGTTCTCTTCATATTTTCATTTTTTGGCATCCACAGAAATTAAAAAAGACAAAGCAGAAAGGAGAGGTGAAACACTCGTGGCATGAGAAGACACATGAGGAAAATAACAGTCCTGGAGCATAAGGTGCGAACAATGGAAGTTCTTACCCTCACGCCTTTCTACTTCAGACCCAGGAAAAAAGAAAAAGAACCGCACACTTCTGAGGAGCAGAAAACAGGTAAGACCTTTCCTCTGCTTCTCACCGCAAAGTGTTGTTTTCCTCTCTGGGCCCGAGAGAGAACTTTACAAAGTTCATGTAATAAGCAGTTAAGTCTATCTCTGAAAGCAGTTAATCCTTAATCCTTGAACAACTCCGCACACACTTTCGCACACAAACATTCATCCACAGCCATGCTCTCAAACACACTTTTACAAGCCACTGCCATGAGGTGTCTGAGCAGATGGGTGGGTCTTTCTATGAACAGACTGAGATGAGAGCGCAGCATGACCGAAGTGCCAGAGCCTCCTTTGAGGGAACACACACCTCATTTACTCTACTCACTTACACATGTATCACACATAAGTACATTCTTGCTAAATGTCAAATTGCCTATCATTCATCCACATGACAAAACAATAGGCCCACGTAAAGTAAACTTCCCTGATTATGGTTATTATCCAACCACATTGTTTTACACATGAACCACTGCTCCCCCGGGCTGTTTGCTCCATAACAGTGCTAAAGCACGCATGACATCACCATGGTTCATTAGATTTTACTATAGGAGAGTGGTGACTTGAAGCAATTCCATAATCGCGATATAGGCAACTGAAAAAATGAGCAATGGCAGACATAAAAAGAGGTGACGAGACAGTAGCATGACACAAGTTGATACATTAATCAAAACTTCCCGTCAGCTTCTGCCTGACTGCAGGACGGAGCCGAAACTTGGTCGGCAGGAAAACAGATCACCTCCGCGGCGGTCCCACAGCTCTAATAAAACCATATGTGCATGTCAGCACTGGAGAGGCTGTACATTATCTCCATTCGCACCAATCCTGACACTTTGCATGCCAAGTATATTGGTGTCTGTGGGATTTATTAAAGAATATAAGGCACATAAAAAACAAAGTGAGAGAATGTGTGAAGGAAAAAAAACAAACACCAGGGGATTAAAAAAAGTGTTCAAAGCTGTGTTTTAAATCATGTTAAAATGACTCCCTCTCATTTGACTGAGGCATGTTAGGTATGAGTCTCATACAGAGCTCCCTCTAATGTGCCATCACTCGCTCATAATAATGCTTACTGGTGGATTTCTTTTTCAGGATCAGAAATTGTGCCTGTAGGGATATTCGGTGTATTCTTCTTCAGTCATCAACACTACTATATGGTCACTTGTGTTCTGTCTTATCCTTGTTCATTTGCATGACCTCAACACTACAGGTGCCAGATATGTGCATAAATGTTTAATGCAGCGTTTGTTGGCTGCAGTTGATATTTTTACTCCTAAAATGTACACGCTAAAAGGTATTCGGTGCTGTGTCTAAATTTCTAAGACTAAATAAGTTTCAAACTGTCTGTTACTCTCTACTTGGTCTGCCTGTCTTTCACACTTGATATATCTAAAATATAAACAACTGCATCTCACAAACCTCTTCAAAATTAAACCCATCATTCACTGAGACACCTGAAACCGTCATCCATTTACACACACACACACACATAGTCAGACACAACAGCACAGTAGAAAGTCCCATTTTTATGTCATTGCACGGGTTTTTATGTCAGTCATTAACAGGAATGTCACATAACTAAATGAGTTTGAAATAGTGGGAATGTGGCCTACTTTATATTAAAATAACACTTTCTCGGGGATCTGATTCTCAGTGCAGGGCTTGTAGCTCCACTCTGAAGACTAAAATCATTTTTGTGTGAAGAGTCTGGATACCCAAAGGTGATGTGATCTAGCTGAAATGAAGCCAACCTCTTAAACTGCTCCCCTAATGGTTTTTGTAATAGCTGCATGAATGCAAAAGTAAAAATAACTTTTAAAGGCGTATTACACCAAACACAGGGACCTGCACAGTCTTCACGCAACTGAGACAAGCTACAGAGGGATATTACTGGAAAGTAAGCAGAAGGGACACCCAGCAGGAGCTGCCCTGTCCAGAAAATTGTCAAAGTCTTCAACTCCAGACGTTTAAAAAAATACAGCTGCAGCACATGAGCCGGTTCGCAACCGCGGTGCTAAATGTGGGCCAGGTCCTCATCTCCTGTTGCACATTAGGAACTCCGAGGGGGTGGTGGCATGATCAACTGGTGCATGCTGCCCCGTGTCACCCAATAGGCACGCGCGCACACGCAAAAATTACACCGCGCGCTCTGACACACACGCACACACACACACACACATTCACAGCCACGCAAATGGCACCTCGTTACGAGTAACGCTCGGGGTGCGTGAGCGACTTACCAGATATGTCAGGAAATTTTCGGTCGATGATATATATGGGCATCACATCCACTGATCAGACATCCATCAAATCCTCAAAGGGAGCGCCAAACTGCAGATAGATCTTCCACAGATGATCTGTTTGCTTCACCCGTTGGTTTCAACAAGGCACAATCCGTTCCAGCCTCCCTTCTTCTCTTCTCCCTCTTTTTTTTTTTTTTTTTTTTTTTTTTTTTTTTTTTTTTTTTGTTGTCCTTTGGCTCTGTATTCTAGGAGTGCATGTTCGCACAAACACGCACGCACTCACGCACAGACCCTTCTACAACTACCAACTGCACTGAACCACATCTACCCGGAGAGGATCGCAGAAATCAAACGATCCATCAGAGGCTTGCGCGGCGCAACTGCTCAAGTGTGTGTGATCCACACACACAGAGGGGTTCCCACATTTATAAATCCCGTGCCATACGCTGAGGCGGAGAAGTAGCCCGCTGAAGTTGCCCTTCTTTAGAATGGTTCCTCCTCCGCGAAGGCGATGTTTAGGAGTGACCCTGTGCGCGTCTCTGGATGGGAGTTGTGCCTGAAACGCCTCGGGGTGCAGGTTCAGTGATCAGTGATGATGTGATGTGTGGTGCTTCACTGTACTTTCCCATATCTTGCAAGGTTTTAAACCAGATCACTGGGGTGGGGGGAGCTGTCACATGAGACAAAATAATGCGTATTATTTGGTCCCCATGTGGATCTGAATACCCTGAGTATTGATGTGAATCATCAGTATAACACTATTGTGGTATTACTGAAGACATTTAGCTTTTAAAAGCCCACATATGATAGTATCCACACATGTAGCCCAGTCCAGCGTGACTAGACATCTGAAATGCAGCACACAGTCACATTAAGTTGATGAAGACTAAGTATTCTATAATGGGAAGTTTTAGGAAATGTCAAATCTCGTTTGGGTCATTCTATTCTATCTATTTTACTTTTGTACAATATTAATGCCTGTTTTCTGACCTTTTGGCAACAAATATCTGCTGTTTAACTCACCTTTGAGAGTTGAATATTCTGGGGCCATTTGCCTGTAATACACTGTTATATCAATGTG